TTGTTAATATTTATTTTAATAATATTTAATAATAATTTAATAATATTTGTTACTTTTTTTGTTAATAACTTTTTAACGAATAACGAGCGACGGCTAAAACCTCTTGATAATCACTCAGGGTCATGACCTTGACAACATACATGAAGGTCAAGGTCATTGGGGCTGGGTCCGTTGTTATCAATATTTACCGTTACAAGTGTTTTCTAACGCCATATGGTGGCGTTAATGTCTCGGACCACGCGAATTAATTTTTAACACTGAAATATAATAAACTAGAACGCGGCGCACGGTCTATGCCGCCTTTGTTAAGAAGAAATCCGAGAGAGAGCATTCAAAGTGGTATCTTTATCCTTTGTCAAGCTATACTGCGCATGTGCAATAGACGGTAGTGGGGCTCCTACAGTCTCGTTCTAAGGTTGAATACAATGCGTGAAGCTGGGTGTGCCGTATAAAACTTTTGGCCAGATTATACTAGAAAGACACAGATATCACTTAGAAGCCTCTTTGTCGGATCGCGAAACTAGCGCCAGTACGCGTTCCAGTATTACATATTAATTATTATATTTCAGTGCTTTTTAAGCAATATAGCGCGCAACCATGCCAGTTTAAAAACTGAACAGCGTCTTGTAATGAAATTCCTCGTAAATGAAGGCGTAAAACCTAGTGAAATTCACAGAAGACTTCAAGCACAGTACAGTAGATCAGCCTCTTAGCCGCAGTAATGACAGGAATGGTTGTAGTGGGCACCGATCAGCCTTGGCCGGGATCATCACTCACTGATGGCCGTCCTTAAAACGTTGGCACCATTAAAATGTTTTACTGCGGCTAAGAGTCTGATCTCCGTACTGTGCTTAAAGTCTTCTGTGAATTTCACTAGGTTTTACGCCTTCGTTCACGAGAAATTTCATTACAACACGCTGTTCATTTTTTGAAATGACTGGCATGGTTGCGCGCCATATTGCTTAAAAAGTAATTCGCGTGACCCGCAACATTAACGCCACCATACGACATTAGAAGACACTTGTAACTAATCAGCATGATTAAGAAGATGCTGAAAGGTCGGCCAAATTTGTACGAGGTCAATAAAGCAGACTCTTCAGTGTCAGCAGAGAGGATCCGAGAGCGGACATGCCGGCCTTTTGGCTGTAACACTAAAATGCCCTCGTGCACTAACGCCCTCTGAAGAAGTGGATCCAAGTTACATAGCAAAATTAAGATTTGTGCACAATTTGTGGTGCGTGTCCGTACTAAATCCACTTTTCGAGTCTGCTGGAGCTTTATTCTCGAAAAATTATGCATTAGAAAGTAAGGAAAAATACTTTCTAATGCGTAATTTTTCGAGAATAAAGCTCCAACAGACTCAAAAAGTGGATTTAGTACGAACACACACCACAAATTGTACAAAAATCTTGAATTTGCTATGTAATTTGGGTCCACTTTTTCACAGGGCGTTAGTGCACGAGGGCATTTTAGCGTTACAACCAAAAGGCATGTCCGCTCTCGGATCCTCTCTGGCTTCACGTTCAGCACTCTATTCTCCTTCCAATAATATATGTTCTAAGATTAACATATAATGGCTGCGTTCAGCAGAACAAGCGGCTTTGCAACTGTTATAAAATTCTATAATATGATTGATTTATATATATACATTTAGATCTATGAAGAACTAAAGGCAAAAGCCAATCATGTTAAAGAATCTCATAACAGTTGCAAAGCTGTTTTCTCTGCTGAACGCAGCCAATAATTCGACTTATGGAGGCTTTGTACGAGAGTTTATAATTTTCCGATTATAATGGCTATTTAGAGGAAAAAAATCAATATTTAATAGTGAATTATTTATTGCATACATACAGGGAATGGAAAGTTATTTTTTAAAAGTAACTAGTTATTGTTACTCATTATCGAGTTAAAAAAATAACTAGTTACTGTTACTAGTTACTGATTTTTAAAAATAACCCGTTATCGTTATCCATGGTAGAAATACAAGAGTATGCTTTTATACATATTGATGCCAAGCGGCCAATTAAATTGTCGCCAAGAATACGTCATTGTTACGTGGTAAATTTGAATATTATTATTTCAAGCATGCTCAGCTATGTTCTAAAATTCACTGCCAGTATTGAAAATTTATAGCTTATGTTACGTGCATTACAGATTTTTAACACTGAAAGTGAATTTTAATACATAATCCTTTTAGTTTTCCTTTTAGTGTTTGAATTGTACGTTAAATACGTGAAATACGTTAAATATATGTCTATATACATACAGGGTGTCTGTAAAGTCAGTTATCACTCTTTTTACTTGGAAACGCCTTTAGATATAAAAAAATGTTTCAAACAAAAGTTGTTTGACTTCAAGGGGAACATAAAATGGTACATTGATTTGACTTTGGGTAGCGCTGTCAAAGTCAGGGAAAAATCACTTCAAATTTTTTATTTAGAATCCCCATTTTTTTATTACATATTCTTGTAGCTTATCTCGAGAGCTTTCCAAAACACATAGATAAAATATTTTTTTATTAAGTAAATCGTGAGTTATGAAGCTTGAATGTTGCAGTACCGTCGGCATTAGCATTGTCCGAACACTGGCTAAAACCTTTTGAATATTGTTCAGAATCATGATCTTGTGCAGATTTGCACATCTACATGAATGTTCTCAAGTGAATATATAACTTTTTTTATAGACTTTTATTCTAGTTCTAACAATTCAATGTTGTTCTTTTGTGTTGTCCGCAGGGTGGCATACCTTCAATTTTCACATAAACTAGAATTTTCATATTAATCAAATATTGTCATGAATTGAGCAGACTACTTTATCGACCTCGTACAAATTTGGCCGACCTTTCAGCATCGCCTTAACTTTATTTAAAATGTCTAAATTGTTTGAAACTCGATTAGTATTTCTAGTTTTGAAATATTTATTTAATTATACAATTTATTATCTAAATACAATTAATCATAGAATTTATTATCTAAATCTGAATTAGATATATACTTTTTGAAAAATGTTACACATTACACATGGTAACTTCCCAGTCAGAAATGTTTGGTTGATGCGACGTCAAATCAATGTCGAAAATTAAATGTCGAAATTCTGGTCGATGGATGTCGAAAGCGTATAAAAGATCAACAACTACTCAACTATCATTTCGACGTCGATTCAATGTTGAATTAAGGTCAAAATTTGGTTTGAAATAATATAAACTAATTAATTTTTCAATTATTTCAATAAGAATACTGAAGTATAAACAGTGCAAATAATCTAAACCAGAATAAAGACTATTATAAAACATAAAAAAAACAATTTACGATGTTTTCAAGGTTTAGGTTTAGGTTTTCAAGGATTATTCCTTCCAAAGTAATATTCAAATTTAACGGTCATCCATCCAAGCCATGATCGCCACCAACGTTGCTTCTATGATCGGGAACAGCAGACACTTCACATGATCCATAACTCAAGCCATAACTACTTGATATTAATTGATATATATCCGTGACACATAGGTGTGATCAGATTAATATATCAATGTATAATGTGTGTGTGTGCGCGCGTGCGTGCGTGCGTGCGCGCGTGCGTGTGTGTGTGTGTGTGTGTGTGTGTGTGTGTGTGTGTGAGCGCGCGCGTGTGCGTGTGTGTGTGTGGATGGATAGGTGGGTGTCGGTGTGTGAGTGTATATGTATTCGTATGTTAATCAATTATGCGATTTCCTAAATGTTTATTATGTATATTTTTATATAAACAACATTTATAATATTTTATATACAGGGTGTCCCAAAATAAACTTTTGTCCTTAAAATGTCATATTCCTGACTCAATTCTGAGAAGATTTTTCCTTTATCAAAATTTTATCCGAAGCTTAGTGTTCAAATTATAACAAGAAATAGTTAGCGACTTATAGGCCGCATATGGAAGATAGACAGGGGCGTGCAACTTACTGTCGGACGCAGGCGGTACGCGGGGCCCTTGCGACGATCAATTGATTGCTACACGCGCGCATACACATGACATTTTAAGGACATGCGATTACATTCTCTCTTGCTCACACACAACACACACACACACACACACACACATCAATTACCTTGTAAAGATTCGATGACTTCTGTATAGCTTCGTGAGAAAGACGGAATTTCCATTTCGATGGATCACGTACAGTTCCAAATAAATGTTTATTTTAATAAATTTTCGTTAATTTTAATGCAGACGTTATCACTAACTGACACAGATCAGATTATTATTTAGTTAATTCTTTTTTTTACATAACATGTCACTTCAACATTTCACACTCGATTCACATACTCGATTTACATACGAACAAATCACTGGAAATCACGAAAAATCAACTAATGCATCTATCTGTTATGTACTTTACAATCACTGTCGATTAATTATCTATCCATTGAAACATCACACGAAGAAACACGGCGATTTATTAATACACGACCCGTTCACTCGAGGATAGCAAGCAGTCGACTGACTTTAATACCGAATTTATTAATTAATAATTATCAGTGTCGATTAATGATTCGTATCGATTAATTATTTTTCGACTAAAAAAATCACTCGAAAAAAGAAACACACGACGCGTGCACTCGATGATAGCAAGCAGTCGACTGACTTTAATACCGAATTTATTAGTTAATGATTATCCCATGTCTATTAATTATACGTCGACTGAAAAATCACTCGAAGAAAGAAACACGCGCACAATTTATTAACACACGACGATTTACTGACACACGAGACGTTCACCCGACGATA